CGGTGACGGAGCAAAAGGAAGCAAGTGTGAGCATCTTTATCTAAACTCTGCAACGTGTTTCTTTCTCTGCAGAGGGTTCACATCCTCCTGCCTCGTCCTACTTTAATGAGGAGTTGCGTCAGATAAAGGCCATGCTTGGGCTTGACCTCAGACTGGAGTCTCTGCTGGAAGGTGGATGGCAGTGGCAGCAGCAGCAGCAGTAGCTGTGTAGCTGCAGCAGCAGCAGCAGCTGTGTAGCTGCAGCAGCAGCAGCAGCAGGGGAGCTGCAGCAGCAGCAGCAGTAGCTGTAGGTGTAGATGCAGCAGCAGCAGTAGCTGTAGGTGTAGCTGCAGCAGCAGCTGTAGGTGTAGATGCAGCAGCAGCAGCTGTAGGTGTAGATGCAGCAGCAGCAGCTGTAGGTGTAGATGCAGCAGCAGCAGTACCTGTAGGTGTAGCTGCAGCAGCAGCAGCTGTAGGTGTAGCTGCAGCAGCAGCAGCAGCTGTGTAGCTGCAGCAGCAGCAGCTGTAGGTGTAGATGCAGCAGCAGCAGCAGCTGTAGGTGTAGATGCAGCAGCAGCAGCTGTAGGTGTAGATGCAGCAGCAGCAGCTGTAGGTGTAGATGCAGCAGCAGCAGCTGTAGGTGTAGATGCAGCAGCAGCAGCAGCTGTGTAGCTGCAGCAGCAGCAGCTGTGTAGCTGCAGCAGCAGCAGCAGCTGTAGGTGTAGCAGCAGCAGAGCAGAGTGAGGTCCAGCAGTGACCTGTGTGGCTGACTCCAGCTCCCAGACTCCACAGTGTCCTGGTCTGACTCTGATCCAAAGTGAAACTTCTTTCTGCAACGGTTTTATAAACATAATTATTTTTTAAATTTATCTTGACAGCATGCACTGTTTTCATCCTGTGCACTTTCACCGAGTGGACTCCAGATGTCATTATTGTTGCTCTAAGGTTAGTGTCGACACCCGTCTGTGCAAAAGTCTTTAAATTAGCATAAAATTAAGATTCTAAAGCATCTGAAATTCTGCATGTAGTGAATAATAAATAATTTTATAATAATGTCATGAGCAATATGGGGACACGTGGGTAATTTTGTTGCCTCTTTTAAATTCAGCTCACAAAAATCAGTTATGGATTTTATATAAAGTTAAAGCAGAAAACAAAAGCGTTATTTCTCATTTTGTCATTTTGTTAGCACCAACTTAACCAGTACAACCAATTTAGCTCAGTTTCAGGAAGTATTTCACCAAAATGCGTCAGCCGGTTTGCAACGATGTCTTGATGGCTTTGAATTTATTGTCCGACACTGCATAAAGTAATAAATCTCACATTTTTATTTATCCTAAAATAAGTTATTCATATCAACAAATTATTACTTTCTCCACTTGTCCGTCCTTGCAGCACGTCTGTCATGTTGCATCACCGAGGGCCTTTAAAGAGAGGAAAACAACTGCTCTGAATTTAGAAACATCCCCAACCATGTAGTTTATTTTTGTTTTTGGAGCAAATGTTTGTGGGAAATGAGGATGGAGGAAAACATCTGGCAACTTATTCTACAGGTTGCCACCTCAGAAGACAGGATCTTGAAGGACTTGTGCTATCCCAACATGTTGCAGCTTGTTTCAGCTGTTATGTTTGAATGTTAGCCGAGGAATGTGCCTGTTGCAGCTGAATGGATTCTTAGGTTGCATCTTATGTGCTGAAGTTTAGATCTATGTATACATGTGCACATCTATTTATCTATGCAGTACTGACAGCTATTCTCTGACACAATACCATTTTATCTGCAAAGCAGATTGTGTATTTTATACTTTGTGGTTTTGGATTTAAAGAACTTTGGGTTTGGTTTTAGTTCAGTGTGTGCTGAGTCCCCTGCCGTCCTCCCTTTACACCTACGACTGCAGATGGTGATGGTGGGACTCGTTTCATCAGGGGATGATTCAGCCCATACAGAGAGAGGGTCCTGAAACAGCACGAGGCAACATGCACAAACTCATCCTATACCTCAAAGACAAAGGAGCTGAGGGACACGGTAGATCCCGTCCATCAACTGAGACCGTGTTCAGACCTCAGCTGTCTCAGAAACTGTGCAGAGTCTCAAATATCTGAGACTCCTCAGTAAAACCAAGTTCAGTGAACAGCTGCGCTGGAACATTTAGCACCTTGTTGTTGAGAAAGTGTTACTTTACATCAGCACTGCTTTGTACGGCAGCTGCACTGGAGCCCACAGGAGAAGCTTGGGGAGATGTGCTAACACAGCTGAGAGGATCATTTTCTCCCCCCTCCCTGCACACCTCCTGATGCAGAGCAGAGCTCCCAAAATACTGAAGGACACGTCCCACCCTGGATCCCACCTGCTTGACCTGCTGCTCTCTGGGCCAAAGACTCAGAAGCAGCATTTTCCTCACAGCCAGAATGATGAAATCAACCCCCCCATATATAGTTAGGATGAATACGCTAAAGATACACTATATCAGCACAATATCTCATTGTTTTTTTCTCATGATCCCATGTGCTGCAGTGTGTTTCATTACAATTTCATTGCACATTTACATTTTAACTAAATAAAAACACACAAAAAATAAATTTGACAGCCGAGCACTATATAATTTATTTGTTTATTTTATGTTCAGTTGGTATTTGGGCAACTTTTGAATATCTATTTGCATTTTTTTAAGGGAGGAGGGGGTACCAAGCAGGAGCATTTCTCCTTTTGTACCACTAGATGTCACTACAACCTATAAAACATCCTGGTGTAAATTGCTTGTTCAAAATTGCACGTTTAAATAAAGTTTTCATAGAAAAGCTGCTTCTAACCTCAACCTACCTATAATATTGACCCCCTATGGGGTCTCCAGTTTCTCCTATTGTTGCCAACCTGTACATGGAGGAGGTAGAAAAGAGAGCCTTGACGTCCTTTTCAGGGACACCACCAAGTCATTGGTTCAGGTATGTTGATGACACCTGGGTTAAAATTAAATCTCAGGAAGTCCAACATTTTACTGACCACATCAACTCTGTGGATAAATACATCAAGTTCACACGAGAAGATGTAAAAAATGGCAGGTTGGCTTTCTTGGACTGTGAGGTCTCAGTCTCTGATAGAGGACATTTGCAAACTGAGGTGTACCGCAAACCCACCCACACAGACCAGTATTTGCAGTTTGACTCCCATCACCCTTTGGAGCACAAGTTAGGAGTCATCAGGACTCTGTACCACAGAGCAGACAGCGTCCCCACTAACTCAGGAGCCAGTCAGAAGGAGAAATCCTACACAAGGCAGGCTCTAGAGCAATGTGGATATCCTAACTGGGCCTTCCTGAAAGCAGAGAAGAAACCCAAACAGGACTCCAGTCAGCCATCAGGTGAAAAGGAGGAACCCAGACCCAGACCAGTGGCCATTCCATATGTTGAGGGAGTATCAGAGAAACTGAGACGTTTATTTTCTAAACATAACGTCCCAGTGGCTTTTAAACCCCAAAATACATTACGGCAAAGACTGGTTCATCCCAAAGATCCAGTCCCCCGGCACAAACAGAGTAATGTTGTGTATGCTGTTCAGTGTCAGGAGGGCTGTGATCAGTCTTACATCGGGGAAACAAAACAGCCACTGGCCAAAAGGATGGCCCAGCACAGAAGATCAACATCATCAGTCCAGGACTCTGCAGTCTACACTCATCTCCAGGCCAGCGGTCACTCTTTCAAGGATGAAGATGTTCACATCCTGGACAGAGAGGAACGATGGTTTGAGAGAGGAGTAAAGGAGGCCATCTTTGTGAAAAGAAATCGTCCATCATTAAACAGGGGTGGAGGCCTCCGGGTTCAACTGTCCCCCTCTTACAATGCTGTGATTGCTAGTATCACTCAGCCCTCTGTGAACAGTAAACAGCCATCGGAGCACGAACGACCAGTTTTTAGGCTCCTGGTCCTCCTTTTGCATGTGAACAACTAGTTCTGGATGTTTAACTGGTTGATCCACTATGAGGAGGTGCTGCTTATAAGACTGAGTTTGATGCAGCTCGTCAGACTGGAGAAGTCTTTCGGATAAAAGACAAAACGTTTCAACAAAGAATCCGTCCAGAGGACCTGACTCGACCTTGTTAGATTTATCTACCTGGATTACTGAGCATGCATCAGGACACTGAAGATACTCCAGTCCAGGCTGAAGATGCAGCAGTTTATTGCTGTCCAAGTCGACACATTCATTAAAAATTAAAAACCTGAGTCTGTTGGGACGAACAGAAACTAAGCTGAAGGCGCTGCAGAAACGGATGCAGCTCACCGAAGCATCACGTTCCTGGTGTAACCCCAACCTTGACCTTTAACCCCAAAATGAAGTTTTACTCTGTCAGGACCAGACCGTGGTCCCCTAAAGAAAATCTAAGTGAACATATTTTTAATGAACACAGTCTTTATTTCATTTATGTTATTTATATGTAAACAACCAGAACAAGTTGGATGCTTCAAGTCATATCCATGTTAGAAAATACAAATATTCTAACATCTTATTCTATTTGAGAAACACTGAGGAGACAGTTTGTGCTTTTTGTTGATGAGCCAAGTTTTAGTGGATTTAAACTGTCTTTACAGAAAACAATAAAAAGTTTAGTGCTATTTATTTATTCCACAAGAGACATGACTTAAGTAAATCATCTGAAATGTGTAATCCCTCTCCTACAAGTTTACCAAACAAGATGAATAAAATCCATTTGTAATGTTAAAATTCTGTTCCATCACATGACCTCCTACTTAGTTAATCTTCAGCTCCTAAATCCACGAATCACCTTTTAAACTTTTTATTTCTGAGAAAAGTCAAATATTCTTCTAGTGAAGAGTTATGAAAATAAATTGAATGCTGTATTACAACATAAATATAAAATATATGAAAATGTTTATTTAATCTATATTTAGCACGGTTAATGTTTGGAAGCTCTTTGATTAAGATTCACATTTTTCTATTCTAGATATTTGTTAGAATCAGACTGTGAAACAACACATCGGAATTTAAAAATAAAACATTATATGTTGTTTATCAAAACACTTTAGTTGGATTTCATTGAAAATATATAACTTCTAATAAAAAAATTAAAATGAACACTTTGTAACAGAGCAACAATATCTGCAGCTGAAATGTTTCTAACCGGCTTGTAGCACCTTTCTCTTGAAACTTTTTGGATCTCTGATAAAAATAAGACTTTAAAAAAGCGACTCTGCTCAGCGGTGGCTTTGGAGCGTGCGGATCTTGCGGCTGAGGTTCCGGGCGAGGCGGTCGACGGCGCTGCTGATCTGTCCCATGTCCTTCTTCTCGGTCAGGCCCTCGATGTTCCCGCTGTACCACAGAACCCACCCGGCCAGGGACGCCACCACGAGCAGGGCTCCTGAACACAACACAAAAATCATATAATCTCAATGAGTTTATGCTTTAAAATAAAAACAAGGCAACCAAATTATAAAACATGGTGCAACATTTTATCATCTGGAGGAGGAAGATCCAGTAAAAATTCCCACTCTATAAGCTTGAAGTTTCACGTCGACACTGGATTGTTAATTGTTTTTTTCTGCACTCGCTCAAGGCGGACACCTTTTCCTCTCCCTCCCGTTCTCCTCTTCCTCCTGCTTTTTTTGCTCTCTGTCTGTGTCTTGGAGCTCCTGTTACACATCTTCTGAAAGAAAAATAATATTATGGATCTGGTCAGCTGGACTTTCAACGCAATCGACTAAACCTTTTCAACAAAATGACAGGGTCCTGGAGAGCCCTCATGTCCCGTTGAGACTCACGCTGCAGGATACGGCACAGACCTGTGGAGGGGTGCGGGAGCTGATGTGTCTTTCAGTTCTTTCTCAGAAGGATGACAAAGACATTTATACAATTGGATTCATGATAGAAGGGTTTCTGCTTTTTGGCATCGCCAGGTTCCTATGTTATTGGCTTCTGAGGAAGACATCGGCAGCAGTTTCGGCCATGGCAAAACTGCCGAGTCTGTGTGAAGGTTTGGTTTGTGCTATGAGTACTCAAAATCAGCTGATATACAAGCTAAACCGTAAGATGGAAGCAATTTGTGAGAATCACAGGCCACCTGCAGCTTCTAGGACTTGCCAACATGTTGGAGACGACCTTCAAGAAGGCTCATAGCATGGATCAGTGGAATGCCCATAAATCTGGCCATTTTGGATCTGGAAAGTTCCAGCAGGACTCGAGGCTGACAAGAAAAAACAGTCTGCCTGAAGAAAATGAACAAGTGTTGCTCATCTGAATCTGACACCCCCGTTTGGCCTCGAAAGCAGGCCGACTATCAAATTTCTCCTGGGACATGGGTCAACTAAGGAAAAAGCTTTGTCTACCGCACCCCCCGAGAACTTCTGTGCAGGTTTATCAGAACTGCCGGCTGACAGTGGGCGGCTGTGGCTGAGTGGTTAGAGCAGTCGTCCTCCAATGCAAGATTTGGGGGTTTGAACCCCACAGCAGTCACATGCCGAAGTGTCCCTGGACAAGACACTGAACCCCTTGTTGCCTCTGATGCGTGTCCCATCGGTGTACGAATGTGATAAAGCTCTGATTATTCTCTTTAGAATGATTTGTTCAATTAGCTTTGTAGAGATCTAGTAGAGTGCTGCATGAACGGGTAAATGAGGCACAGATTGTAGTGTAAAGCGTTTTGAGTATCTCAATAAGATAGAAAGGTGCTATATAAGTACAGTCCATTTACCATTTACCAACATCTTACCTATAACCTATCTGGAAGTGCCTCATGGACAAATCTCACCATCTCGGCATCAAATTCATATATAATATGTTTATAAATGTGCTGCTGGTACAGTTTTTTGATGTCTCAAATTGTGTCCCGATAGGACAAGCTGTGAAGAGATCCTTTTTTTATACCACTATACATCCTCATGGCCTTTTGCCTTTTTATATCTAAAAAAAAAACGTAGCAGTCTTGTAGCAGCAGTAACGTGCACTCGGCCCATCGTTCAGTATGAACATAATCTCACTGTATCTTGGTACAACGACATTAAAGCTTATTCTGATATTTAAAAAATGATAATGTCGCGTAATAAATCAACACAAAGAACTCCCTGCATGTGTAATCTTACACAGTGCAAGTTAAACATTTCCTAAATGTGATTTTATTACAAGTTAAGATTTAAATAAAAAAAACGTACCACTGTAGACCAGGAAGTCTCCAAAGTCGGTCCCGTCAATCTCCAAGGGAGCAAAGACTCCGAGCAGCAGAGCGGCTCCACCCAGCAGGTCCATGAGCACGGCAAACCCCAACGCTGTTTTACAGTGAGACAGGCCGCCGCACAGACCCATGGTGGACCTGAGAGGACCACGACTGCGATTACTTCAACACTTCATTTGTTTATTTGTACAGAGACAAGTGTTGAACATCTTTATGGACTTGGCTCGTTGGTTATACACACCGAGCTAGATAAAGCTAGCTGATGATACATTGTTACACACGATATTGAGATGCGAAGATTTAATTTCATAATAAAACCTGTTTTAATAAAACCAATAATATAATATAAATATAATAAAACCAATTTTCATTAATTAATTAATTCATAATTTCCACTTTATTATTATTTTCTTCTTTCGGCTGCTCCCTTCTTCAGCGGTCTCCACAGTGAACTAACTCGCACAAAGACTTGGTAATTGTTTTTACGCCAGAAGTCCTTCCTGACGCAACCACAGACCACCGAGCGACCGCAGGCCTCTGTGTGGAGCAGAGAGCTGCATCTAGTGCGCACCGGGGAGCAAATGGTGGGGGTCAAGAGCCCAGAGTGGGGCAAATGAGGGTGGAGGCAGGTGTGGGTGTTTCACCTATTCCACCCACATTTTGATGTTGCCAGTACCAGGAGTTGAACCAGCGACCTTCTAATCACAGGCCCACCTTCTCTAACCTCTGTGCCACCACTCCCCCATTTATCAACTTATTTGACTGCAAACAAACAAAATCTGACTTGTTTAAATTCCGTTTGTTCTTCCAATATACATTTTTTACTTTTCAAATCAGTACAATTAATTTTACTTTATTTTAAAACAATCATAAAATTACATATAATTATTGTCAAGAAGATCTGAATCAACTTGATGTCAATTAAAACTGTTTCATTGTATCAGTTTACAAATTAAATTTTGATTATTGTTATTTTTTTGGTAAATTACTCTCTTGTAATTTTAACTAAATTTAGCAGAATAAAAATTAAAAACACTATATTACTGGAATGATAGATGTTAGGTTAGAAGTAAAAAAACAAACAAACAGGGTTGTTTATGTACTTTTAAAATCTAAGTTTGTAACTTGTGTTTATTCCCAGACCCTAAACAATTGTTTACGTTTCTAACTTGTGCTGACAATATTTTTTAAAATGAATTAAAATATTCTGACATGACATTTGTCAGCACATTTAACAGTAAATTACAAAAACACACAAAAAAAATCCCTAAATTAAACATCAAGAATTAATTGTAGGCTATCGGGCAAGAGACTTAAATCTTTACTTTTTATATAAATAATAATAAAAAAAATAATCAAGCCTCGACTTTAAATCCTGAAAACATCTGGATTAATTCCTCTATGTGGACATTTAGAGTAACTTACTTGTTGTTCCAGCGCCTGTTTGTGGATAAAACACCTCGTCCAGTTTTACAAACATTTGCTATTTCCGGTCTTCGCCTTACCTGAGCCCCGCCCCTCACGTGACACGGGAAGATTTGCTGCTTTCAATGTCAAACTCGAGAATTTGGGCATTGCATCTAAAAACAGGCTTAATTAAATCAACCATCATGTCGTTTGCTTATAGGCAAATCCGTAAAAAACAGTTTTTAAGTTCCACTTCTATCTTTAACATAATTTCCCCAGAAAAGCAGTTAAAACTTTGATATATAGACGTATTTGGTTGGTTTTCTCCTGTAATAAAGACTGGATAAATAAATACTTTTTTGATTTTTTTTTTTTTAGATACTTTAATTTTAGGTGACTGATTCGATACAAGTTGGTGTTTAACTCAATTAAAAGGGTCTACAATATAAATATTTAATTTCCGAGTGACATCAAAGGCAGCATTGAGTTTCTTTACTTCCCTTAAAGTTATTATCTCGCTCATAAAAAAGTATTAACAATATGAACAAAAGAAGTTCAAACACGAAATATGTAGATTTTTTTAATTATAACATATAACTGATTGATAATTAATGGCATTTCCGCCTAATAAAACTTTAGATAGGAAGTTATTACAAATATCTAACTTTTTTTTTTTTATCCTGTAAAGTGACTGGAACCCCGCATTCTTGTGCGCATGTGTGACAGCGCGCGCCTCACCTGTTGAGGCCACTTATAATCAGGTAATTGCTGCTGCAGGCCCGTTGGACTCGTGCGGCTCCTCTCACGCTGTATTACAGGAGCATAACCGCGCAGGAGGGAAATAATAACAGGTTACTGAGGACAGTTCGGTTTGTCCTCACCTGTCCACCTGTCTGCAGCCATGAACACTCCAAGCAGCAGGCACGGAACGAGCACGCCAGGTAACAGCAGCTCTTCTGGGCAACTCCTCTTTTAGTGGGCAACCAAACATTTCCACATTTTAAAGTTCATTGAACGCAACAAAGCTTGTTTCCTGTGTAATGACTGAAGTTTGTAATTTCTAATGCAGGAAATGTTACACGTGCTTAAATGGTTGATTAAACTGTAATTAATCAGCATTTCCTTAAGCACATGTTGGGTTATTAGTTAAACTATCAAGTTAACCAGTGTTTTTACACATGTGATGGTTTTCTAAATTTTACTTAATTGATTTATTAAGAACTTGAGCCTTTTCTAAAAAGAGGACATCTTCATGGTCATGCTATATCTTTGTCTTTGTGTTTTAAGATGTTTCTTATGTATTTATATTATCTTGTCTCGTTGATTCCTGTTGTGTATTCCATACCTTCCCTAATTAAAATTAGTCTTTGCACCTAGGATGTAATGAAATTAACATTAATTAATGAGCATGTTTTGGGGTCTTTAGACAACTTGATTGCACGTCAGTCATTATGAGTTGTTATTCATGGCCGTTGCAGATCTTTAGAAATCAAGGAGGCAGGTGTCCAACATTAAGCTTCAGAGGTTCTTTATTGTCATTCGCTCCACATGTGGTACATGCGTTGGAACAAAATTGTGCACACAGGGTACAGCCAACAATAATGTAATAAGATCTAAGGTATGAACTAAGAAAAACATCAGGTAAAAATATGCGAAGCACTAATAACATAAAAACAACAAACACAATGCACTGAACAGCAGCACGAACACGAGTCCGTGTGAGCAGATGAGCACAAATGAACATGAAACAGATCAGCAGCAACATGATGCCATTTTTTTTTAATAGTGATTATAATGATTAGATTCATGAGTCTAACAGCCTCAGGGTAGAAGCTGTTCCTCAGTCTAGTGGTTCTACACTTAATGCTCCTCAACCTCTTTCCTGAGGGGAGTGGGGCAAAAAGTGTGTGTGCTGGGTGAGTGGGGTCCTTCATGATGCAGGTGCTTCTCTTCCTGCATCACCTTCAGTTGTTTAGTATGTATTTTCCTTTTTATCTTGAACATGTATTTAGAAGAGCTTGTACACTAACAGTAATCTGTTTTCAGAGATTCACCATATTGGATTTTTGGCCGATATGTCGATATGTTAAAACTTATTTGGCCGATAATCGATACCAATACTGATATTTTTCCCCTAGACGACTTACAGAGACGCCACAACTTTCTCTGCTGTGGAATTAAAATAGTACATTGTTCTGCACGCTCTCTGGCCTGCTACCAAACGCAGATGCCAAAATAGGGGGCTGGAAATGATGTAACACTTCTACATGGATTATGTTTAATATCAAAAGTATTAATGACATTTACTCTTAACACAATGACAACACTCGAACAGTGCACATTTTCACAAATCTAGACGCGTGTGATGTCATAACGTTGTGCTGGTGCTGCAGGCATCCTTGTCCCTGGGTTGTCCTACAAAAACAGTGCCTTTATATTTAACACCGCCTTATATATCGGTGAGTTGTTTTGATGGAATGTACGATTTTTAACTTTATTGCTGATATCGGCCGATAATATTGTGCATCTTTACCTAAAAGAACTAAATTTTGGGCAACATTGGTTATAGCAGCGTTAGTATCTACGATTAAGGCTGACCTATCTCAAACTCAAAGTACCTACAGCGCACACACACGAGGAGAACATGCAAACTCCTCATAGAAAGAGCCCCATTAACCCTGCGGTCTTCTTACTGCAAGGCAGCAGTGTTAACCGCATCGCCACCGTCCAGTCCCCTGAAGCAGCGGCGTTGTGTTGTACAGTCAGTGACCCTGTGTCAGAGTAATCTTCTGTGTTGCTGTGTTTTGAACATGTTAGAGCACTACATGCCCCAATCTTCATCGTCGTCGGCAGAGACAGGAGGAGGCAGAGGTGGCGGTTTGTATCTGGACGCATATGAGGTCTCCTTTCCCCTTGAAGAGAATGCGGAGCGCCCACCTGCCTATCACCTGAACCACAGCCAGCAGGTGGTGGAAGGTGGGTCACGTCCACACAAGAGCCCGTTTATTATGGATCCGTTGCTAAAAATGAGGATTTTATTGCGCTGGGCTGCGCTCTGTGGGCTTTCTGCTCACGAGCTTCCTGTTGAAAGGCTGTCATGTGATGAGCTAACATCAACTGTACAGCACCTTTCATACATGTGCAACAGAGCATGCTTCACAGAGCTGAAACCAGCGGAAAATTAAAAATTGACATCTACTAGATGGATGGATGATCAATCATATTGTTTAAAGCAGTCATGAACAGTGTTTTTTTTTTACCAACGTCTTGATTCTTTTTATTTTTCACATTTTGGCAGCTGTTTTTTACTCGTTATCTGACCAGTACTTCATCATTTGCAACATATTTTTATGTTCAAACTCAGACCCATGACTCTTGTATGATGGTTTCAGAGACAGATTTACCATCTCATGATTTTTGAGCTCAGCCTAAAAGGATTTGCTGAACTTAGATTAAGTCCACACCTTACCGTTTCCTCTTTGATGCATGTTTAGATCATCTCTGCTTTTCCTCCACATCCAGAACCAGTGGTGCAGGAGCCTCCTCATACTCAGTACAGCCCTTTCATCCTGGTCTCTAACCTGCGGACTCACCTGTACGTCTCTCTGGAGAAGAACACCTGGCTTCAGAAGCGCATCGAGGAACTGGAGGAGGAGAGAAACTTCCTGCGCTGTCAGCTGGACCGCTTCATCGTCAGCATGAGGAGTCCAGACGGTACGATGGCGTTTAAAAAGGTTTGACTGAACACCTCATGCTGTTTGAATTTCCTTCATTAGGATTGTTTTTGTTGTTGCGTTCTGTAGCCGAATGGTGTGGAGACGCTCAGCGTAGTGTGAAGGTCCAGCCTACCAGCTCTCCCTCCCCTCCGTCCCCCATGACCACCAGGTCCGGGATGACCCTCAAACGCATCCAGAGCTCAGGACCTCGGTCCCGCCGAAACATTGCTGTCCCAGGTGGGGAAGATCAACAATATTAAGTAAACTGGAGATTTCCTGGGAAAATGCAGTGTGAATGCTTATTGTAGAAGAACTTGCTGAAAAACAGCTGAAATTAGCTGAAAAATACATGATTAAGTGTAGCTGAAAATGTAGAACAAGCATAAATCAGCAGGAGAAAGAAGAAAGAAGACACAAGTTGAAATGAGGGCAAAAAAATGTGGAAGTAGCTGAAAAAGCTAATATTAGCATAAAACAGCTAAATAGTAGCGGGCATAACTGAAACCAGCAGAAATAAGCTGAAAGGAGCATACCAAGTTGAAATGAGCAGAAATAATTTAATTAGGCGGAAAGTAGCAAAAATTACCATGAAAAATTTGAATTTATCTCAAAACAGCTGAAATTAGCTAAAATATGCTAAAAAGCTAGCTGACAATGTAGAACAAGCTTAAATTAGCATAAAAAGGCAGAAAGAACACATTTGCTCAATTAGGCAGAAATGAGCACCAAAAAAGTGGAAATTACCTGAGAAAAGCCGAAATTAGCATAAAACAGCTAAGAAGTAGCTAAAAAAGCAGAAAGAAGCATAAATTACCAGAAAGGAAATAAATGGAGCACATTTTTTGCTGAATTAGGCTGAAAAAAGTTGAAACGAGTGCAAAAAATATGGAATTAGCTGAAAAAGCTAACGTTAGCATAAAACAGCTAAATAGCTGCTGAAATAGCAGAAGCAAGCTGACAGGAGCATAACAAGCTGAAATATGCAGAAAAAAGTTTGAAGAAGCACAAAATGTTTTAGTTAGCAGAAAGCATCTGAAACGAGCACAAAACAGCTGAAGTTAGGTGAAAGTAGCTGAAAAAAGTTTTAAATTTGCACAAGGAAGCTGAAAGTTGTACCAATACTAAATGTCCTAACAGGATTGTCCTGAAAGAGCTGAACATTTTGATTTATGATTTATTGAAATAGCACAGAAATTGTGGAGCGAGAAAGATGCAGAAAAGCGTACAGAAGAAAAATGGATCACAACAGTGTGAATGCTTCAAAAACTTTCCCACGGTTTGGAGAAACTCTGTGTTTCCACTTGGTTTCACCGTTTGTGTTCCATGATGCGTTTTGTTGGCAGCAGTCAAGCAGGAGTTTCACGTTGAAGAGGACAAATACTACACCGAGGACGAGTACGTGGAGGAAGAGGAAGAGGAGGAGGAGGAGGAGGAGAACGACGATGACTCTTGTGCGGAGAAGGCGTCCAAGAAGAAAGGCAAGGGGCGAGCCGCCGGAGAGCCGAGGATGAAGATGAGGAGGATCTTCAGGATCACGCATGGCCGAGAGAGACAAAGAGGTGAAGGCTCAAAAACAAAACTCGGAGATAAAAATATACCGAACTGGTCTTTCTCAAACTTTGTAGAAATATTGTTTATATTTATGACATTGTGAAAAACCTAAAAGAGCCACAAGGATTCTCTGAACAAAACAAGCAGGACGTTATAAATTATTTAGGAACCTGCTGGATTATTGAGCTAATTACACTGAAAGTTCTCAGCAGGAGCAGAGTTTGTTGTTTTTATGCCACTTTTCTTTTTACATTTTCCAGTTAAGGACCCAGACGGGGTCCTGATTCGTTATAAGAAGATCCTGTCCACCTACCAGCGGGTGAGGAGCATGTCCCGAGCCTTCCAGATCCACGGAGTGGACCGCAACACGATGGCCTCCACCTCCCCCATCGCAGAGCTGCTGCTGGTCGCGCCGGAGAAGGTTTGACTTTCACGCTTATGTCTGGGCTCGCAAAGCACCATAGCACAAATGTGTCAAAATACGAACGAGTACAAATATAAACTATAACAATAAATTAAATGTTAAAACTGTTAATTATAGAAATTATTATTTTCAATCGAGCCGTTTATTTATTCATATTTTTTTTGTTTTAAAAATCCCAATTCTGGGTCAGAAACTCTTATTACCGTAATTTCCGGACTATTGAGTGCACTTGAATATAAGCCACGCCCACAAAAAAAAAAAAGTGCACACAGTTTATAGGCCACACTTGTGTATGCAGGTGTCCATGTACCATGAGATATTTACACAGAAAGATTTTTTAAACTTTTATTTAAATACATACCCATAACATACACAAATATATGTACAGTAAATGTTTTTTTTTCTGAACAGTGCCGGTGTTGCACCATATTCTGTGACCACCGTATATTGTGACCGTAGGGGGCGCTGTTGCATTTTTACACCATCCTTTACAAAATCTGATTCACTTCAAAAATACTAATTAATACTATTTTATATTATATAATTATATTATATATTACTATTTATATTTGATAAACCCTATCATATTGTGTGACTGTTTATATTTTCATAATACTCATGATATAAGTGGTTAGATGTTACTTTTTATTTCTTAGAGGAAGTAGAGAGTCATCAGAAACAGTTTGGCTCAAGTATTTAATGTTTTTCTATAAGTTACAGCGTGGTCACAATATCTGATAAGCGCTATCATATTCTGAGATTATCTATTTCCATAATAGTCGTGATATTTGTGACCATATTTTACTTTTTATTCTTTGGAGGAAGGAGCGAGTCAGCCCCCTTCCTCCAAAGAATAAAAAGTAACATCTGCTCACTAAAATCATGACTATTATGGAAATATAGACAGTCACAGAATATGATGGTGTTTATCAGATATTGCAAAGTATGATGTAAAAATGCAACAGCGCCCCCTACGCTCACAAAATACCGTGGTCACAGAATATGGTGCAACACTGGTAACATGGCTGGTTATCATTGGTCCACATTAAATATTTGAAGAAGTTAAAAATCTGTTGGGTTGTTTGTCTTTGTGAAAATGATGTTCGTCATGTCATCAGAATTAAAAACGTCCATTCAAACTCCCACGTCTCTGCCGTTCCCGCAGATGACGGAAGTCGGAGAGTTTGAGGCGTCGAAGGAGAAGCTTTTGGATTACGCCCGGCGGTGCTACAAGACCATGGACGACGAGACGCACGCCAAGGTCCAGAACATGAAGAAGACCCACAAGCTGCTCCCCATCTCCTACAGGTTCAGAAACTGAGGAAGAGGAGCGAGGAGGAGGAATACAAGGGAAATCTTCTCTTGATGAATGTGAACCGTCTTCTGTTCTGCAGCTGCTGGTGCGAGCGTTCTTCTTTGCTGCTGCTCAGTTTAAATTATGGAACAGGTTTTGGTTCTTTTTGCTTTTGCTGGTTATTTATCTGAAGTTCGTTAGCTCGTATAAATATCCCTGGATGGGAATTTTTCTTTGAAAAAGATATGAATCATAGTTTTGTTGTATTTGTTACAAGTAGAAAGGATTGTCACTTGGTGTGTTAAACTAAAGGTGTGTTGAATTTATGGACTTTTTACGGACCAGCCCACAATGTTTTGTTTTCTGTTATATAAAAATGTTTTTCGTTGACTCTGCAGTCGTTTGCACATAAAAAAAAAAGCTCCCGATTATGCATATTTGCTTAATTTAAAACAACTTTCTTACCGTGTTTCATACTAAAGCTATTATATTTTAAGTTATTCACCTGAAAAATGTTCATTTTTTAATTTATTTTGATTGCAGTAACACAATATGTGAATTGCCGTACTGTGTACGACGTAAAGTTACTGAAAATTATGTTGTTAATTCAAAAAATAAAGTATGATTTGTGAGCTCTGAAGTCAGTTAGAATTTTTTTTTTTTTTTAGTAAAATAATTGCTTTTAGCTTAAACAGGGTTTCCTCAGCTCAGTTTACAGCAGCTGAAGATGCAACAAAATAACATAATTTGCATTAAGAAGACTTAACTGAGGCATTTCTTTTTTTAAATTTTAAAATAACCTTATTTAAATTGATATTAAAAGTAAACTACGCTTTCAACTTTTCTGAAAGGCTCAACCTGGTGTCCATACAGGAGTTGATGTTCTGATCTCTGTCGCCCTCTGGTGGTAAATGTTGGTACTGCAGACAATTAGGTGAAGATGTAATTCTGCCTGCAGCAGTTTATGAAGCTAAAGTTATGGATAACATATGATGTTTATTGATTTTAACACAAACCAGAGTCCTTTAAGTATGACTAGCAGTACGCATATGATTAGTTTTCACAAACAAAATCTAAATTTTCTGTTTGTTAAACAAAAACAATACCTGTAAATGCTTTAAGAACATTTTTACATGACGCATCTTCCAATGGTTTGAGTCCGTTCTTATTAGTTTGCACAAAAATACCAGAAAACATGGGTTTTGGAATGTATGTAACATGTAACAAAACGCTATGCTTATTTAAATATTATTCCTGTATCTTCGATTGAAGCATCTTTGGCAGTAGCTGAACCCTCAAGTCTTATGCTGGAAACGATTTTTCAGCATAAAACACATTTCCTCTCTAATTATCTCCCATCCTCGTTTTTCTTGGCAGAATTTTTCAAGCTGAAATGAGTTGGATGGACGCCGATAACTCGCAGCCACTGGGTTCAGGCTCGGGGTTTAATTTTCCTCACAGCTTTCTGTTTTCCTCGCAGTGCATTTTGCTTTTGCGCTGGAATGTAAATAAAAAAAAAAAGGCCTGAGATATCGGTGTAAAAGGTTTGTTTTATTTATTTTTGCATCTGTCCATGTTGAAGGCCTGACTGGTGGATTTCAACACTGAATGTTGTTCTCTGCAAAGTCTGAGATTCCCATAAAGGAATTCTGAAGTTTATTTGATATTTTGTCAACAGTTTAATATCTAGTGGAAAAAAAAAACCTGCTATAAAAGCAACAAATTACCACCTAGCAGTTTGAGCGCTCTGAAACCTTAATAAAACAGGAATGTTTAAATATATAGCAGTTTATAACCAGATAAATATTGCATTACTTATTAAATAAATCATAATGATTGTACATAATGCAGAGAAGCATCAACTGTTGTTCATAAATGAAAGGAGCCACCAGCAAAACTTTTAAAAGTCCAATCTAAAACTGACTTTTTCATTTATCATAATGAAATTTACTCTGCAGACAAAAAAAGTGTCATAAAATTGTCCCTCCCCCGTTATTTATACCTATTTAATTAAAATTGTAAGATAATTGATGATTAAAATAAAATGTTAGATTACAATATATATTTGTCTCTTTTTTTAAGATAATATCAGCTGACAAGATGTAAAAAATGTGATTGATGTTTGTGTTTTTGTGCAATTAAATCACATTTAAATTTCACTGTATGCTTCATGAATGAAGCTGTTCATTCATTGTTCATTTATTAAATTAAATTAAATTCAGTTTATTTATATAGCAACAAGTCACAACAGATGTTTTAGGGAACTGTACAAAAAACGTTCACATACATGCAAAGCCAATTAATAAAGTTAGAAGGAAGCCGCAAGCAGATTGTGTTGCATTCATGTGAAAGATTTGAATGTCAATGTTTTTTTTTTCGTTTTTTTTTTTGTAATATAAAAACAAGGGTTAACAATGAGTCTGAAAAGAAAAAGTAGACCCCCCCCCCCACACACACACACACATAATTGGATTCAAAATATGCAAACTACAAATAACGACAAGACAAACAAAAAAAATCGTTTCAACTTTTATCAAGGAAATATGAAAAAAATATATTCCTGAATTTTTAAAACAGAAAACAAAAAAAACATTTTTTTGTTTGTATTTTTGGCTGGCTTGCAATATTAGACTTCATTTCCCAGAGGTTCTTTCGGCTTTAATGGGGCGGGGTTAGAATACACTTTACTCCTTAACCTCTACAAACGATCCAATCATAACGCGAGTCACGCTGGAAGCAGTTCCACTGTTTTTTCCTGATGGACAGACACATTAACCAATAGAAGTAAGGAATTTTCAGCAGTCGACCAATCAGAGGCAGAGTAGGCGGGACTCTAGAACCTCAGCGCATCGGAGGAGGAGGTGTTCCTGGTAGCCATCTTGGATGTGCGGAGTGATTGTTTAGCGAGAAGAATTGACAATTTGTTTTAAAAATTAAGCCTTTTTTATTGAATCGCTGAAGTTTTATCGTGGTGTAGCGACTGAGAAACTCAACCTCGACGTGGAGGAATCCAGGTAAATTAGCTGCGGAGCCAGAGGTGATGAATTTATGTGGCTTTCCCCTCTTTCTGTGTCTTCTCTCTCCTCTTTCCAAAAAAAAAAAAAAAAAAAACTGTCTCTCCCACATCAAACAGCGCAGCCGGTGGGAAGCTGCAGCTCACGATCCTCAAAACAACTTGTATTTGGTTTCGTTATTTTTAAAAAGGGAAAGTTTAGCTGATCGTACGGGATCGCGGTTGAACGCCAACTTGAGTTTGTTTTCAACTCTGCTCGGATGTTGGCGCTTCCAGGCTTCTGTAGCTCTGATGATGCCCGCATTGTTTATAAACATCGCGGGCTAGTAAATACTTTCCCGTCGGCTTTGAAAACAGAACAGCACTTGTTGGTTGAACCCACACGATTTAAATTCGGATAAACGTATTCACAGGAGAATCAGACCATGTTGAAACTCACCTGTGCCGCCTCCAGGTGTGGGCACCTGTGTGTTTGTTGAGCTCCAATCAGACAGTCTGACCTGGTGTTTTACAGCTGAAGAGCGTCCAGGTCAGACTTTGTTGAAGACAACTAAGACTTTCTCAGAAAGTTTGGATATTAAACGATACGAATGCATCTAGATAATCAGTGCAGAGAAAAACTATATATATATATATATATATATATATATATATATATATATAGTAACTGATACTGTGGGGGAAATAGAAAACAAACGTTGCTGATTTATTAGAATGTCTCTTTTTTTTTGGTTGCTTTTTCTTATTTAAGCGTAAGGTCCTCTGAATGAATTCTTCTTTGTTGAAATGTTTTTCGTCTTTTATCCCCGACACTTCTTCGGACCGAGGTGCTGCATCAATCTCAGTCTTATAAGCTTCACCTTCTCACAGTGGATCAACCAGTTTGCTGCCGACAGACAAAACTAGCAATTCACGTAAAAGGAGGACCATCAGTTTAACAATTGCCTCTGATGGCTGTTTACTATTCGCAGAGGGCTGAGTGATACTAGTAATAACAGCATTGTAAGAGGGGGACAGTTGAACACGGAGGCCTCCGCCCCGTTTAACGATGGACGGGTTCTCTTCACAAAGATGGCTTCCTTCACTCCTCTCTCAAACCGATGTTCCTCTCCATCCAGGATGTGAACATCTTCATCCCTGAAAGAGTGACCGGAGTCCTGCAGATGAGTGTAGACCGCAGAGTTCTGGCCTGATGATGTTGCTCTTCTGTGCTGGTCCATCCTTTTGGCCAGTGGCTGTTTTAGTTTTCCCGATGTAGAACAAACTAATAAAAATAAATAAAAAAAACTAGTGAGCTATTTATAAGACCGAGTTTGTTGTGGCGCCTCGGACTGATGAAGTCTTTTGGATGAAAGACGAAA